TCCCAAGATAATTAAGATTTTGTATAATTTTACTATTAATTTTTACTATGTAGACAATCAACGTATGGATTGGTTTTTATATATAAAACCAATCCATACGTTGATTGTCTATATAGTAAAAGTTAATAGTAAAATTATATAAAATCTTAATTATCTTGGGATCCTGTGATTGGATTTTGATGATTTTAGATTTGTTAGAACCATCTCATCGAGATCAACATTTTGGTAATAAAATTATTCAAAATAAATTAGTATATCAAAAGTTATTGGCAATTCCATAAATCAGCCCATATGTTATAAAAAATTCATTTTATTATGGATGTTTTAGACTTCAATAACTGAATTATATAATATAATTGATATTAAAGCAATTAAAAATAATATTTATATAATTTCAAGATTTGATAAAATTAATGATTATTTAGTAAATAAATATATATTTTAATATAGATTAATTTAAAAATGTAATAATAATTTAAAATAATAAATAAATATTTTAATTTTGCTATATTAATAAAAAATAACAAAAATTAGAAAAAGTTTTCAGAAAACATAATATATTTCAAAATATTTCAATATTGAAAAATATTTTAAAGGTTTTTAAGCTATGTCACAAGTATTGATTTTATTAAAAAATTATTAATCAATTAATAATCTTTTATAAACTTTTATATAATTAAGAAAAAAAATATAAATTATGATAATTTGTTACTTACTGTATAATTTATTTTTAAATAGTGCTACAAATATGCAAATAATTTAAAATATTTTATAGTATTGAAAAAATATATTACAATTTTCAAATCTATGTCTAAAAGTTGATTTTATTAAAAAATAATAATTAATCCATTTAATAGAAAAATCATAAAAAAATTAGAACATGTTATGTCTTGATTTTATACACTATTAATAGCCAACAAAGAGTATCATCCTTTGTAAACTTTTATAAAATTATGAAATATAATTCTAGATAATTTATCACTTGTAACTTTTATTTTGAATATGCTATGAATATATACAATGTTTTGAAATATTTCATAGTATTGAAAAATATCTTACAAGTTTTTATTAATGTGTTTATTTATTAAAAAAAAATTATTAATTAATTAATAAACTTTTGTAAAGTTTCATAAAATTATGAAGTTACAAAAATATAAATAAAATAATTCATCTTATAATGAAATATTTTTGAATAATGCTAAAAATATGCAAAATATTTTGAAATATTTTATAGTATTAAAAAATACTTAAGTTCTTAAGCTTATGTCTCAAGTGTTGATTTTATTAAAAAAATTATTAAACAATTATAAACTTTCATAAAATTATAAATTACAAAAATATGATTCATTATTTGTAATTTATATTTTTGAATTTATTATAAATATGCATATCGTTTTGAAATATTTCATAGTATTGAAAAAGTTCCTTACTAGTTTTTGTTTAAGTGATGATTTTATTAAAAAAATTATAAATTAATTAATAATCTTTTGTAAACTTTTAAAAGATCGCAAAATTACAAAAATATAAATCAAAATGATTTATCATATAATGAAATATTTTTTAACTACAATTATTCAAAATATTTTAAAATATTTTATAGTATTGAAAAATATTTTACAAGTTTTCATACTGTTTGTTTCTACGTTGATTTTATTAAAAAAAAAACTACTATTCTTTTTACAATATTTTGTAAACTTTTATAAGGTTATGAAATTACAAAAATATAAATCAAGATAATTAACTCAAGTTAATTTAAAATCATTAAAAAAAATAAGATTCAGCAATATAAAATATCAATATACAATATAAAATATCATTATATTACATGATAATTTAAATAAATAAAAATTATTTTTATATTTTTATAATGTTTTGTAAATATTCATATTTTTCTTAAGATTCAACATTTCAAAATTTTTATAAACTTTTGAAAATTTTTGAAAGTTTTTTTGATATATAAGAAAATTATAAAAATGCATGAAATTTTTTATATAAAACTACATATGACTTTTGGTATATAAAAAATCATAAAATTATGAAAAAAATTATGTAAATTTATGATTTTTTTATACACCAAAAGTCCTACATAGTTTTATGTTAAATTTTATGCATTTTTATAATTTTTTTACATACCATAAATATTTTCAAAAGTTTACACACATATATTTTTGCTGATATAGATTACTTTAGAAAATTTCAATAAACCTGAAAATTTAGCTTGTTCTGCTTTTCTTTTTGGAATTTACCAAAATCCTACTATATACTTAATCATTCATAAGGTTTTTAGCCACATTAGCTAGCCGATCATATCACATTGACTGGCTCGGCCTGCTAAGCCGACTTAGCCGCGAATGCCATAGCCAGCTTAAATTACTAGCCCCTACCCTTAATAGTTACTATAAAATTATCACGTGCTACATTATTTATAATGCAAGTGTACTAAAAAAAAATGGGTTCATAAGTAAAATTATAAGTTATTCTCTAGAACAATTTAAAATTTTATTGTTATAATATAATGTTATATAGTAGGTGTTCATTATAACGGATAGAATTTTCCAGCCTGATCACTATATTGAGGGCAGACTGTATATCGCATTGCATATCGTATCATAAGACATTTGTTAAAGAATGAATCGATCAAAATTTTATTAACCTCTACAAATTTCGATAACAACACTTGCTAGTAAATTCCAAGCTTTATAAAGGATTAATAGAACATAGTATTCTCATTGACAATCTTTACAAGATTATTCATTCGTTGCACGTACCTTATAACACCAGTATATCAATAATAGTCGGTAAACACTGTTCATAATTTCGTCACGATAAACATCATAGGACCAATTTTGGATGAACATAAAGTTGTTTTTTTCCAATATATATAGCAGACTATTCACGTGTGCTGTTGGATAAAATATTTCTACTTGATTTATAATACCGATAAAACAAATAGTACAAGATATACTATAACTTATTTGATTGCTAACCTGAACAGCAATATCGGATGCTTGGGAAAGTTCCGTGCTTAGCAAATTGACAAAAAAAAGGTTGTCAACTGGTAGACCGGGAATAAAATTGAAGGATAATGGAAATAATAATGATAAAAAAAAAAAAAAGCAATCTACCACCTTTATTACAAACTGAAAATCTCTTCGAGAATTTTGTGACATATCGTCTAATCCATATAAATAATGGAGCAAGTAATAAAAGGAATAAAGCCAATAATAACTCGAACACAAAACCCACATATATAATTCCTTCCATTTAAACAACCGAATACTTGCCATATCCACCCAAAGATGTACTTCCCGGATTTCGAGCCTCAGCTTCTATAGCACTTAATGTAGTCTCAGTCAATATTCTTTTTATTTCATTCTTTGCCTTTTCAACAACATATTCATTTTCACCCTCAACAAATAAATAAAGCTTTCTTTCACCAGACCCAGGTGCAGGCTGGCGACCAGGTGGAAAGTAGGTACCACGTGTCGTGATAGCAGCTCCTGTGAGTTCAGTTATTTGTGAAATTTGTTCCTGAAGAATATTAATTAATTAGCGTCCTATATAGAGTTATAAGCCTAGACCAGATTATAAGATATAAATACCTTATTAGTAACCTTCCACCTTGCTTTTTGTGGGTAATCATTGATTTCTATTTCAACGGAATACTCGGCAGTATTCTCTGTTTTATCTGCTTCTGCAACATTGCCCTGTACAGAATTTTCTTTAAATCGAGCATTGATATCTGCGATTATATCTTTTGCTCTCTGGACCCCGCTCGCACCAACATTCTTTGCATTAACACGAGCAGCAGCTTCCTGTGCAGCTTTGAGAGCTATATTCCAGAAGAAATTAAAAATTAAGTATAATATAATGTCAGTAATAAATAGACCATTTATAAGACTTACCAGCAAGTGCAGCTGGATCAGCAGAATGCCCATTTGCAGATGTTGGAAGTGCAATTACGTTCTTTGAGGTAATTACGCTAGAACCAATATTAACTTCTTCTTTCTTTGGTTGTTGTATTAGATGATCCTCTTCTTCCTCTGCCTCCTCTTCGGATGTTGTGTCACCGTCACCATATGTCTGTAAGGTTAATCAAATTTTAATGGTTAATTTAACTTATGCCTCATGCATCGTATGCGTTGTATCCATACCTTTCTTTGAGCTTTTTTAACGAGGTCACGAGCTTCGTCCAATCTTTCAAGACCTTTACCTCCAAAACCGGAACCAGAATATGTAGCGCTACCTGATTTGACTTTTTCTTGGAAGCCTAAAATCAAATTATTTACATAAATTAAATGTTTATACGGAAAGACCTTCCTAAACGCAATTTGACAACAAAAAAAAAAAAAGCATTCAGAGTTATTAACTACGGAAAGTAAAATATAACTTGTAAGCTTAGGGATAAACCAGAGCTTGCACTTTGGAGTGGTAAAATTTAGTGATAGTTTAGAGAGGTTGCATTTAGGGAGGCCTATAGTGAATAATAATTAATCTTTATTACCATCAGCAAGTTGCTGCAGTTCCGGGCTCACGTGCCCTCCGCTTAATTTCAACGCTTTGACGATGTCCATTGCATACCGATCTTGCTCAGGAGTAATAAATGTATATGCAGTACCTTTATTACCTGCCCTTCCTGTTCGACCAACACGATGCACGTAGTCTTCCATATGATTTGGACATTCAAAGTTGATGACAAGCTTTAATTGCTTCACGTCTAGGCCACGTGCTGCGACAGATGTGGCAATTAACAGTTGACATACCCCAGACTTGAAGTCGGCAATAGTACTATCTCGATCTAGTTGATCCTTGAATTAACATAAACGCTTCTGTCGTTAACAATTAATTTTTATTTTACAATACTTGGTTAGTGCTGAAAATAAACATACTTTCCCACCATGCAGTGACATGCATGGGTAACCTTTGCGAATTAGATCACGTAAAAGATTGTCTGCAGCTTCTTGGCGATCAACAAATATTAAAGTTCGGGCATCAGGATCATCATTATACTGCTGCCCCAATATCTCGAGTAAACGAACGAATTTAGTATTATCTTCGCGTACTTCAACTATTTGGGTAACATCCTGGGCAACAACAGAGCGTCCACCAACTGTAATTTCGAGTGGCTTTTTAAGAACTTTACGAGCCAGAGATTCCATCTATTGATAAATGAAATATATATCAAATAAATTTCTTAAATTAATGAGATTTAGTATAATATGACAGAATTTTTATACTTGGCGGGGAAATGTTGCAGAAAACAGCACTGTCTGACGGTCAGGTCTGACATTATTGACAATTTTCATGACCTATGAGCAATTAAATTTACAATAGTGAGAAATATAATTTATTAATTTCAATAAATATCTGAATTACAAGTAGTGACCTGAGGTTCAAATCCCATATCAAACATCCGATCTGCTTCATCCAATACCAGATAAGTAACACGCTTCAAATTAGTAACTCGCCCCGAATTTGCACATAAAAGATCAATCATACGTCCTGGAGTGCAAACAATAATTTCAGCTCCGCGTTTAAGTTCGGCAATTTGATCTTTAATTGGTGAACCTCCATAAGCACATACAGCCTAAGTAAAAGCAAACGTGGCCATATTAATAAAGTGAGTAGTATCAATTAAGTTATTCCAATAATTAGCAAATAATATACAATACTCGAAGATTTAATCCTTTTAAAAAGTGCTTGCATTCTTTATGTATTTGCACTGCCAATTCTCTCGTAGGTGTCATAATTATGGCTATAGGTCCTTCCATTTGCTCGAGTGGGCGTTGATCCTTGATGTGTCGAAACATTGGAAGGAGAAAAGCTATTGTTTTACCACTTCCTGTTTTGGCAACGCCTATAACATCGCGGCCGGCCATTATAGCAGGGATAGCTTGAGATTGGATTGGAGTTGGTTTTTCGAAATTTAATTTTCTTATTACATGCAGACTAACAATGTAATCATAGAAAACTAACGTTAATAACCAGAGAATAACACAAATATATGTATAATATAGTATTTATACCATGCTGCGGGTAATCCAGCGTGAGTCCATTTTTGAATTGGTTTCGGACAATCAACTCCCTACAAAACATTGTAATTAATATACGAAAAAAAAGCAAATGTTTGCAACAAAATAATAGAATTCTCACCCGAATTTTGATACCTCCTAATTCAACCCTAATAAGATCAACTTGATCAGGTGTTAGGTCGTGCATTTCTGGAGGCTCAATGTAAAAGTCTTTACGGAAAGGTTCATACTTGACTTGTGAGTGATCTACTGCAGCTAGGTCTTTTTTCTTAAGCTTTTTAGCTGCCAAGCTATTGAAAAATTTTTTTTAGTAATTAAAATATAGATTTGATCAATTACTTAAAATTTATTTACGCTAGAATGTCTTCAGGATCGCTTCCGAATTCTTCTTCTGCGTCATCTTCTTCCTGAACGTTTTCTAGTTTTTCAAGCTTACTTCTTCCTTTCGCTGCCTGTTTGGCACGTTTTTTATCTTGCTCATTCAAATATTCCACTTCAACTTCAACATCTTTCATATAGGCATCCAACGGATCCTCATCCTCTATGCTATTTGTTTGCATTGATTGATCACTGGAGTCCATCGAGGGTTGGACTTTCACGGACAGCGTTGAAGATTTTTCTTCATCTTCACCGGGCCCTGCTTTAGCTTTTCCTTTAGTGCTTGTAGCGGCTTTTTTACTTCCAAGTCCGAGTAGAGGATTTCTTCTAACTGGAAATGAATCAATTTTATCTACTGGTTTTGGTATTGGCATCAAATCCACAGTTTCTACATCGGAATAAAGGTTAAGTTTTATAATAATTAAGTGATAAATTTTAAAAGGAAAGGTACATCAATTCACCTGGAGCACCGTCTACTTCCATTGCTTCATCTTCTTCTTCATCATCCAATGTCCAACCTTTGTTCTGATTTTGTTGCATTTCCTCATTAGTAACAGCTGTCGATTGACTAGTATCAGCAGCCATCTTTATTTTAGCTGCTTCTTCAGCAACTTTTGCAGCCTCCCTTTCTCTTCTCCATTGCTCAACTCGTTCTCTTCTTTGCCTAATTTTTTCTTCTTGATCAAGTAAGGCTGCCACTGTTGCAGACGTAGCCGAATCAACCGACTGTATATTCAAATCCAAATTATGAGCAAAGTATAATGTAAAACTGCACATAATTTATCTTCTTACCTTTTGATTTGCGGCTTGCATTTGTGTGTCCGAGTCTCCATTAGCACCTTCCCCAGTCGCATTACTTCGAGGCTCTTCAAGTAAGGCAGTGCTTGAGGATCTCGCGACAATTTTAGATTCTTGTGAAGTGGTAGTGTCTACTGAGCTAACGGCTCGCGTTTTTTTGTCTTCACTCTCTTTTGAATGTTGTGCCCTTAACTGTGCAACCTCCTTTTCAACATCACCCTTTGAGTGCCGAGAACGTTTGTGTTCTCTATCATCTTTGTGACGATCTTTATCACGCCCGCTGCGTCTGTCTCTACTGCGACTTCGATCTTTAGATTTTTCTCTTGCAACATCCTTAGTACGCTCCCGACTGCGGGTTCTTTCATGTCTATGTGAATGTTTTTTTCTTTTATGCGGGGAACGAGATCGACTTCTAGAATGAGAATGTCGTGGCATTCTGTAGTCTAGCAAGAAGAGATCGCAATGTACAACTAAGCATTGGTAAAGTTTGATTTTATTGGTTGATGATGATCAACATAATTAAAAATTCTGATTGGTTAATTTAACAAAGTCATATCTACTATACATCGATCGCGCAAATTACTTATCAGATGTAATATAACCTCACACGTATTTGAGTAAAA